ATCCGATCGCGATCTGACCTGATTGTAGAGTAGTCACCCCGTTTATTTGCCCTAGATTGTTCCCGTTAAATTTTAATTACATATGTTGTTCCCATGTATTTTTCCTATGTTGTTCCTATTTATTTTGCCTATACTGCTTATGTATTTTTCCTGTTCTTGCGATTCATTTTCCGTAGATGTCAACAATCGTTTATGTGATTTAAAAATGACGTTGGAGCGAAATCATCTATCTATTCATCCGATCGCGTTCAGATCCTGATCTGATCTGATTGCCGAGTAGTAGATCATTCAAAAATGGGAACACGATCTTATTCATTCAATATTATTTACGATAACATGGATGCAGTGTTCTACATGGGCTATAGCCTAGTAAATAAATATTAATTTCAGTTCATTGAATTTTATTTCTCATACGAAAAATTATTTGTCCCTAGAGTTGCCGTGAGACGAGATGAGACGATATAGACCTCCACTCATCTCCTCTCACTACTGGTGAGATGAGATGGAACTTAAATGAGATGAGTCAAATTAGTCAAAATTGTATCTCATCCCATCTCATCTAATTTATGTTGTGATGAGATGAGATACATTTCTGCTAATAGATTTCATCTCACTGCAACTCATCTCATCTCATCATAGGCTTGGTTAGGTTAAGTTTGGAACAATTTAGTATAAAGGTGCGGATGGTACAAATCTCACTTAATCGTGCACACCAGTCGCATTTGCAATACAAATAATGATATTTTTGTAATTGTCATTATTTATCCGAACAATAAACAACAAATTTAGTCTGACTGCCGCAACCTGACTCAAGCCTGACTTAGTTAAATAAGTCCTAGTATGCAGCATATCATTTTGCTCGGCCAGATGAGACGATCCCAAAATATGTTACATAACCACAACCCAAAGTGGGTGCGGCCGTTGACATCAATTTTGGTCCTGAAGACTATCTTTTTGGAGCACATGATATACATATTTCTATCCGTGGCTTGCAAGCCACATGGGAAGCACCATTACAGAAGGCGGTGGTCGACCATCTCAAAAACGGAGCCGAATCGCTTGAGGACAAGGCCCGCTTCTTGGCCATGGGTCAGCCAAACGTGGGAGCGTGGTTAAACGCCGTTCCTTCCCCGCAATTGGGGACTCTACTCCCGAACGAAGCGTTTCGTATTGCGTGTGCGCTTAGGTTGGGGTCTGATATTTGCCATCCCCACAAATGTCCTTGCGGGGCACAAGTTTCTTCTCGAGGCTATCATGGACTCAGTTGCAAGAGTAGTGCTGGACGTCATTCCCGACACGCCGCAGCAAATGACGTGATTTTGAGGGCCCTACGTTCCGCCGGAGCACCCGCTATCAAAGAACCCGCTGGTTGCTCCCGTCCGGACGGAAAACGTCCTGATGGACTGACTTTGGTCCCATGGGCGAGAGGAAGGCCCTTGGTGTGGGACTTTACGTGTACCGACACTTTTGCAAAATCGTATCTTCCCCAAACAAGCATTAGTCAGGGTGCAGCAGCCGACAAGGCCGAAGATCGAAAAACGAAGAAGTATGAATTTTTGCACGACAGGTTCCTCTTTGTTCCCGTAGCCGTTGAAACGACAGGAGTGTGGGGCAAGGAAGGCCTGTCCCTTATCAAGGAGATTGGGTCAAGGATCACGACCCTTACTGAGGAGAAAGGGGCGACTGCTTTCCTACTCCAACGAATGAGTATTGCTGTGCAACGGGGAAATGTCGCAGCAATTTTGGGTTCTCTGCCAGCAGGAAAGGAGTTGGATGAGATCTATTTTTTTTAAGATGCGACTGATATGACGACATACTTAGGTTAAGATTTATTTTCAGATAGGGATATTTTTTGTACGGCGCTGGTCGTTTAGCTTTTTTAGAATACTGATGTAACACAATGAATCTCTGCGAACATTTTTCTATATACAACAAGTCAATAAAAAGTATTTCTATATGAAATTTAGTAATGCCACCCTCCTTGTGAGTGTGGCACTCTCTAATACTGCTCTGATTAAAACTTTTTGACCTTTGTATTTACACATACAACTACAAAATTAATTATTTTTATAAAAAAAAACCTCTGACAAACATGAGACGATCTCGTCTCATGATGAGATGAGACGGCCGATAAATGAGATCAGATCTCACGTGAGACCACTAAAATTTTGTTAGATGAGATGAGACGAGCTCATGATAAGATGAGATGAGTTGCGGCGAGATGAGATCCATATGCAGCTTCGTATCTCGTCACATCTCAACATAAATGAGATGACATAAGATACAATTTTTACTAACTTACTTAAGTTCCATCTCATCTCACCAAGTATTGAAATGAGATGAAGTCTATCTCGTCTCGTCTCGTCTCACGGCAACTCAAATAGCAGCTGTAGGATTATGTTGAGAAATAACAACGCCGAAAATATAACTTTAGGAGACTTAGAAAAATAGTAAAATTTTCACTGGAAAAACCTACCCCGCAAAAATTAACCTTTTTAAGGAAAACAGGATTTTGGCCAACTTGTATCTCGACATTCTCGACTTCCTCGTTGCATTGACATCATTGGATAATATTTGTATGATTCGCGAAATTTAATTCAGATTTACACAAGTGCACGTACACGGTTTGTAAGATGGCAGAATGATAAGTCGTAATACAGTAATGTGTTAAATTAAAGTAATTAAAGTAAAATTTTGGAAAAATCTTCGGAAATTTTATCTTCATTCTTAATTACATACAGGCTGTTAGTAACCTAAAAAATGAAACAGATATCGAGCCCCAGGGCAAAATTGAAATTACCACCTGCATGTACATCTGAATACAAAACCTGACCTATGGTCGATGGGTTGTGATTAAGGTGCACATTTGTTTCAAACTCTACTAATGTCAAGTTATACTTTTCCGTAATTGCTACCATAACACATACTGTGCTGAAGTTTAGGTTAACAAAGCCGTTGTGGTGTAAGCCGCACGTAGCGTTTACCGGGCCGCTATATAGAACGAAGAATTTGTTCATGTTTCTATATAGTCTGTACCAGGTTTGAAGGATGTCGGATAGGGAGATAGTGTCAACTCGAGAAAACGACATTGGGTGACACGTGTAGCACAATATGAACAACGCCGATCTCAAATCTCTAGCGATTACAATCATCTTTGCTGAATTATAATAACGAGAACTCTCCAAAAGCACCTTAAAACTCCAGTGGTTAATGGCATATACAAAGATGTATTCTTGACACCAGTTATCCTCCACGAGTCTCGATAATCTATATATTATCCAAGATCTTCTTTGGTAGGAGGAGTTAGAGGTCTCCACCCAAACGATAACGGCCTTGGGTCTCGACGTTTTTTCTTCTTGACGATATTCAAATTCTTTAACTGTGAAGTTACCCGTGGTAGGGTGAAACTTAATATCAGATTCAACAAAGCGCAGAACAAAGAATCGGATAGGGGTGCATAGGTTATGTGTTATCACAGTTTGGTAATGAGCATTGTTGAGACTATATTTTAAGCCGTCCATGTAGAATAGAAATGTTAGATCGGCATCGCGAAACAAGTTTTGCCAAACAGTTGTGCTACTACATCCAACTAGAAAGTTGGAGATGGTGGCAAAACTGACAACGATGAGTTGCGCGACGCTCATTATGATTATGATTTATTAAAATGTATATAAATAATTAGCTTCAACTTCTCAACAGCCACCACTGCAACGAGTGTTGTGACAATGACGCTTGCAAAGTGCCTACTGGACACTTATTTGGTGTCGTTGGGTACCCAAGGAAGATATGTTCGTTAATTCCGCGCTCTTGTTTCCTTTTTTTCCCGAACTGTTACCTATCAATAGATGTCTCTCATTCATTTCTTCTAAATAAAATTGTAATTTCAGAAATGTCAGTCATATAATCTCTGCATTTTTCAACCTAAGATATATGAGTGTGCGACCGGTCTTTTTGACAATATTTACAAAATCCAAATATCCTAACCAACAAAAGATACAACTGAATACTATATATATTCAACTAAAATAGGGTAAACTTGAAGGGAATAGTTGCGAGAAATTTTTAGAGGCCCATAAACTTTTGACGTGATAAAAATGATCACGTGATAACTTTTCTCACATTTTGTTATTCATGCTTTACAACTTTGTAACATTATTTGCACTGTTTACTAAGCAAACTTTATTTCGTTGAAATCGTTCCAAGGGGTCACATGATTTAACTGTACCCTGGGTATCATACCTTTAAGCTTTTGACGTGAACTTTACCAAATCTAACGTGGAGCCAATATATTTGATCGGGAAAAGAAGGAAAGTTAATGGAACTAGTAAATACCGATTTGAGATCGCCTTGTTTTTGATTGCATACAAAGAGCAGTGGGAAAAATGGTTTGAGTTTGATAGTCGGCATTAGGGCGCACCCCACACTCCGCAGATTCTCGATATTAATCAATAATTTAAATTATTTATACATCTGACAAAGCATAATATATTAGTCGATTCAAGTGATTAAATTACTAAGTGCGGTTATGAATGAAAAAACTTTTCCCAACTGTTTTTCATGCTTGACACGAAATACCAGATCACGCAGCTTTTTAAATGTAATCTTCTAAATTGAAAACCTTTGGATATTACATTCTCTAAAGTATGTATGCAGGCCCGGTTCGAGGTACCTGCGCTCTGAGCAAACACAGAGGTGGCGCCCTCATGGTGCCCAAAGCCGCTGACGCCTTCGGCGCTCGCGACTATATACTGCTATAACCCCTTATTTAATGCTTTTTCGAATTGTTGATTTTATCCGTAGGCATTTATACATATATAATTATAACGATTCATGTGTAAACTACAGTCTGTTGAAATTGTGAAAGAAATGTATTTATTTACTAAACTTCTCTAACAATTTTTTTTAAATATACTTTTATTTAGATAACGAAGTTGTTTTATGAGTAATGTATGTAATAAGAGTTAATCATATAGCACAACAAGCCGTCACCAGAGTTAGGAAAAACCCAAGGTTTTATTCAAAAATTAACAAACCACGGGTTTTAATGAGTTTTTTGGGTTTTATTGGGTTAATGGGTTTTATTTGTCGAGGGGTCGAGGGGACCCTTCGACCCCTAACACGGCATAGTCAAACAGGCGACAACCTTGGACTGGGTAGGAAGTACTGCTTGTCGTCATTGAGTGAGGTTAGTCGATCCCACAGACATACGAAGGGTCCGGCACAACTACCCGTTTTGACCTAGATGCCACAGTAAATTTGGAAAACTTACCTTATCACTTTTCAATATATTCCCTTATAAGCTTAACTCACTTGGTCCGTTTGAGTTCCAAAGACTCTATCCAAGTTTTACAATAGATTGAAAATTGGCTAGAGTATGAGAAGAGTAAAGTAATTTTGGCATTTTTGGGGTTGGCACAGTTTCCATCATGCAGAAGCCGCCTTTTGCATGCGGAAAGGACGAAAGTGACGCCAACATGCTCATTGTCTTTTCTTTAGAACGCCTTATCTTAAGTTCTTCAAATTTGCGGGAAAACATGCACCAGTTATCGTAGTTGTACGTGCAAAAAGGCTTATACGAAAAACTCCTTTCAAGTTCCAGGAAGGAGCTACCATGTAATAATTTGCAGAATTTTGCATTTTTCAGGTGCTTCGGGGTAAAGGATCGCTAGCATATCATTACATATATTTTTTCTGATATAGCTGGTCACAATAGTCAACACAGATTTCATAACTACTGACTACGTTGGAAAAGAAATTTTTATAACCCTTCTGAAGGTCAAATTCCTTTTGGTGAATTATGGCTTAAATTAATTTAGCTGGATGCTCAAATTCGTTTGCACCACTTAGGTTCTGACCTGGTTACGGGCAAAATGATCATGTGGGATTTCGATGGGATTTGATTTATTATTGACTAACTATCTAGCTATCTCCTGAACTTTATTTCGAATATAGGCAACAACTGGTCACTCACAATTTGGATATACATATCATAATTCAAGAAAATTGGTTATCCTGGTCCTCCTTCGTTCACCAGTGATTTTTTATGCAAAATAAATTACTTGGCCCATTCTCTTACCCATGATAGCAAAGAGGACTAATATGGGAACAATTTGCTGTTTAGTTCAGGAAATTCGGTTGGGGAGAACGCTTCTAATGTTTAAAACAATATCAGAAAATGCGACTAGATATTGGCGATTTTGTTATTTTTACTGTTTTGTGTCACACGTAGTGACCTCGTTAATTCCTGCATGACCGCAGCGGTCTGAAATTTTTAGCATGAGGTCTACATGAATTAAGCTTTAGAGCCCTTGAAAAAAGTTGGGCCAAACGAATCCCCTTCTTGGTCAAAACGGGTAGTTGTGCCGGACCCCTCGTATTATTTTACATGTCGAAAAGATCATCAGTAACAGTAACCATTAGATGTGGATGGTAACGGAGCACAGGAGCCTATCAGTCGGCCTGAATGGCCTTAATATGGCTCTTCGGGTTCAATTCTCTGTGCCTACAGTGGAGTTTTCTCGCTGTTCCCGATGATTTGCTTAGTTCAGATGCTCTACACACCACAACGTATTGCCTACTTGTGTAGTGAGGAGAAAGAATGCATTTGATTTTTACCTGCATTACTGACATCAATTAGTACAGATAATGTGAGATATAGGCAATCCTAAAATAAAGAAAATAGTACAATCCATGACTCCTGAAAGATAATGAACCTTGTAAGATGTCTTGATGGGATATGAGCTCCGTCCGACTTGAATATGAAATGTAAGGACTGGCATAGTTCTAATATCCCTATAAATTAAGGAGTTTTTGGACGCAATCCTTCCTTTCATTAACCCCAGGCTGGATTCAGTTTGTTGATGCACTTTGGTGAGGAAATGTACAATATAAGTGAAGACCATCATCACAATTAGTGCAATATAAAATACAATTAAATAAATAAAAAATTGGGATATGTGCATGCAACATGATGACCGCATAATTAAAGGAAACCTGCAAATCAACAAATTACTGATTAAAATCTATAAATTACTTACTTTTAATACATTATATAAGCTTCAAAGCAGCTGGGAGAATGATGCATCTAATTAGAAAACGTTATTTAATATTTATTTGTTGTTAAGTTGAAGAAGAGAAAAAATTCTTAGTTTTTTTGTAAAGGTTAACCCACTTGATGACAAACTCGGAACGATTTTTTATAATATTTTGCCCTCTATTCAATCCAACGAATAATATATAACCATTGAGTAATGCCTTATTCTCGTAAATTCACTACATTAGACGACCTAGCTTTACAAGCCCACATTTTACAATTAATTAGTGTTATCGACTCACATGAAGGACTGAGCCAATGACAACCAGAACCGTAACCATGAATATTGAGGGAATTCTTCTAACTGCAAAAATCACCATAAAACACCTATAAAAGTACCATCCAACCCTCAAGTTTCCAGTTTCAATAATACGCCATCGGGCAAGTGATAAGTTCGTAATGTTAATCAACTATACAGCCATGCTTATTAAAATTGTAAAAACCCGGGAGAACTCTACCGCCAATGAAGTTAGAGAAACTATACGAATTAGGCTCGCAAGAATGTTTGTTGGCCGTATCCTCATCTGGAAAAGGATAAAATATAACGGATCCCAATTCTGAAACACGGTAAGCATGCTGCAAACGGTAGGTAGTATAATATAGAAATGAAAAAATACTGATGCAATCTGTATATTTTTTTCAGAACGGACGAGTGGACGTTGTTTTGGGGGACACACTGTAATTAAATTCCACAATATTTTTAGTTCGAACTAAAATTGAATCGCTGTAGTCATACCCTCTTGTAATCGACTGAAGAAGATGAACTGGCGACGAAGCTCTGGAGTACCAAACTCGTCCCAGAACAGCACCAAGGGCAAAAGGATTAGAAACATTCCGAATGCTATAATTGACATTATTAAGTAAAACGCGATAAGCTTAGAGGGGACGTTATCATCGTAATGATATGGAGTCAGACGATTAACTGCATTTCTCACATATATACCAACCATTGGGGAGATAACAGCGAAGCAACTAAGTAATATCTTGATCCAAAATTTGTAATATTTGAAACACTCCCATTCTAAGATAAACGAGGAACTCTTTCGATTCCATGAAAATGGACATTTTCCGAACAAGAAGTGTGATTCGATAATATCTGAATAAGATTGAACAAAGAAACAAAGAAACATTGGTTCCATAGTGGGTTGGACATTGTGCCTTCGTCTATGACGAATGACGTTTGTATCGGGAAAATGCCTTAAACCTCGTATAGAAAGAAATTCATGTCTTGTAAGGAATAATTTAGTTGAGCATTAATCCGGGATTAATACGCAGTATCAATACCTAATTGGTATTTACTATGTATATAACATAGTTCACGAGTTTACACAAAATTAATTGTATCCGTTGGCTAATCATAGTTGGAAAAGGTCGCAGTTTTGTGGCAAGCTTTATAAGAAATATATTGATTAGTTTATATAAAATATTAGCATTGTCGATAAATTTTTGTAATTTTAAACTCAGGAAGGTTTACCTTCGTACGTATCTGTATACCATGCAATGTATTTACGAATATTTCAAGACCCTGTTGTGCAATACATTTGGAAAGGGTTAGTTTACTCAAAACCAATTTAGATGAGCAATTTCGTTGTTAAGGCATAATATACATGAATGCGGTACAATACAAAAAATTGTCAACTTAAAGTAAATCAAAAATGGGATTATATTTTTTCCCGACCCGATTCACTTTGAGCTTAGGGACCTAATTTGTGCCTTAACTAATTTTAATTTAAGATTTATTAACTCCTTTTTGAAAAATCAATGCCGAGTGACGTTAAACTTTTACAACCAAAAATATTTTTTGCTGCTATTTTTCTGAATATATAATTATCTAACTGTCCGAAATAATTTTAGATGAGTTTAAAAAATTCAGACGTATTTTGGACAAGAGGTATGGCCGAAAATTGGCAGAGCACATGCGGCAGTAAACTTCAATCAAGACAATTCGACTTGATTGATTTTTTTTAAAGTTTTGAAACATTTATTTATTCTTGACCCAAAATGGGTGTTACAATAAACCATGTGCAAAATTTAACTCATAACTAATCCAAACAAATGTTATAACTAAAATGTCAATAGTAAATTAATCGTGTAAATCACAATATGCCACATAGCAGCTATTATCACAGACTTCTTTACATATCCAAACGGCCCCAAAGCTATCCCCACGTTAGCCACTGATTTCAGCAACCTCATCTCATATTTTGAGTTGCATTTTCCCTTACAAAATCTTCGAAAACTGACCGACGATTCCTACAACAAGGCCGCCTCTGGTACAATTGTCGCCAGTATAGCAAATCCTAAGAAGCTTGTGGCAGGAAACCCCCAGTAAATCACGAGAGGCATCATTCCTGGCCTGACGGTTAAATAATTGGCCAAAATCATGGTGCAAGACCCAAAAAATGCTATTGGTGGGCAAGCAAAATAACAAAAATTCTCATTGCAGTAACGATTCCAAATTTGCAACTCTTTGTACACCATTAAGACTTTGATTAGGGAATTATTAAAACTTTCTAAAGCATTCTTGCAACGAGCTATTATTTCCGGACCGGGCGTCATTAGAATAAGTCCGGATGTGGCAAATCCAAAAAATGATTTAGCTAATTCGCTAAATATCCAAGAAAGTATGAAAAATCGTAATGGAATTAAGATAAGATGAGATCTTTTGGGTTGCCAGACGTCACCGAGAACATAAAGTGGATCCATGTCCAGTAAGATGACAATAAGACTTATAACGAATGGGAAAATGGGGGAAATTTGGACAAGTATTTGCAAAGCTGTTTCCAAAACTTTATTGCTGCGAGGTGGATGGCGAATTCTTCCTAATCTTCCTGGGAATATAGAAAGACAATTCATTTTTTTAAAATTATGTATACTCTTGGGCATCATTAGGGAGGTTGAGCAAGAGTAAAATTTTTTTATTGTACTGTAAATTTGATTGTAGAAGTACAGGACTTCCTATTTCTACGATCAAAATTACAGTCACAATCACAAAATTTGCCTCTTGCTCAACCTCCCTATTGAGTGTGTCTCTCGTATTATATTTACAGTTAAGACAACACTCTACAATTGAGACCAAAACTTTTCTATAATTATATTTACCTTCTATTCTCGTATGAAATTCGACAATTGGGTTGACAATTTGGCAAATTAATACCGCACGAAACCCTATCGCGACACTGCTAGGGGTGAAAATAGGAAACAGAAAAGTCATATAGAACATAAACAAGGTTCGAAACTTGTCTAGGAGATTGTTTGTTTTATGAACTCGGTTATTGTACAATTTATCGAAAAGGATGAGAGCAGTGGTGACGGTGAAGGAAATTAAGAGAAGGGATGAAACCTTTAGAAACTTTAACTTGAGTTGGGAACACTTTTTTATAAAAATTTTTCTTTCCAAGACAGAAATACCGTATGGGTGCATGTGTCCATAGACGGTGGCGTATGTTCCCAAGCATTCCCATAAACCGGGTGAAATCAAATCATATTCGTTTGGAGGGACCGTGCGAGGAAGGTTAAAAACTTTACGAAACTTGAAAACTGTACCAAGTTTTGGAATATTTTGAATCGTAGGCATTTTTAATGCGTTTTTCATACTTGTGACTATTCACATGTGAGGAAGAAGAGGCAATTTGGTCAAATTTTAATGCTATACTGCGTCTATAGAATTCGAGGTAGAAAATTATGCTATGTAAATTTAAATACATTCCTATTCTTTCGATAGGTAAAGGTTAATTTCTTAAGTATCGATTTTTTCCGCAACAGGGTAATATCGTAATTATATTAGTTCTTTGCTAAAATTTGAAATATTTGGGAATAAATTGGTCAACTCTTACAATAGAAGGCAAAACCTTTGAATATGATAATTTTTTTATATACCATTAGTCGAGTTGAGGAAAATGAATAACTTTTTGCTCAGAATATTTTATTGTAGATAAGTGGAAGGGATATCAAAATAACTTATGGAACTACTAAATAAGAGTAACAATAATGCGATATAACTTTGCCATAACAATGACAAGGACATGTTGAAGGGACCAAATATGATCAATCCGGAATCGTGAAATTGATGTTTTTTTTTGGAATTTTACTAAATTTTCAATCAAATTTACCTCTGCACATAACCCTGCCTTACATCCATCAACTTGTACATATGTACCATGATCAAATGTATCTGAGACCAAGCTCAATTATATTGAGCGGATATAATTGATAGGATATAATTGATATAGAAAACCTTTGTACAGATTGCAACTAAATACTTTTAGTGGAGAAACTTCATATTCAAACAATTACACGATACCCCAAAGGGCTCCCCATTGTCACCCGTATCATCTGAACTATTTCTCCTAGAAAATGAGTTCATTCTTTACCACAGTATCCCATACCTTGAACATTTCGTGGATGATTACTTCGCCTGTATTCTCCCAAATCAAGTGACGCCAGTTTTACATAGCCTTAATCCGTTCCACCTAAACATTAAATTCACAATAGAATTCGAAAAAGATCGTTCTCTTCCCTTCTTAGGACGGACTCCCCTTAGATGTTCTCCTTAATCCTTAATCTCCTTAGATGTTCTATCACCAGACAAGTAGACGGCAAAATCTCAAGCAGAGTTTATAGAAAAAGCACGAGAACCGGAAAATATATGAATTTTAAGTATTATCATTATCGTTCATAAGCTATCAGTAAATGACTCTCTGATATACAGAGCTTTGACCATTTATGACGACGATTCTATCAATGAAGAAACTAAATATCTGACAAACATCCTGAAAAATAACAGATATCCCGAAAAACTCATTATTTCTTGTGTCGAAAAAATGAAAGCCAAACTATCCACACCAATTGACAAAGATGGGGAATCAAAACCAAGGATGACCCTGACCCTGGCTATATGTGGTTTGCACTACATTTTTCTTATCATAGCTAAGGAATTTTTTACCGCGGCTAGAGAATTATGACCATGATTATAAATTTATTATCGACGTAATCATAATCGCATCCAAAATCATAACCATAATAAAACTCATAATCAAATTCGCAAATCATATAGGGTCGGGGTGTATTAGTATGGACACGAGGCAATTGTGGACAGTGAAGTTTTTGATGTGAAAACATATTTTTTCAAAATAAAAAAATTCACATCATACTTCAACTCCTTCTTGTTCTGAATTATGAATTTGAAAAAATATAAAAATCGCTTTCATCCCAAATAAATTTTTTGAAGATTTTTTAATTTAAAAAACATTTTTTTTAAGAGGGGTTAGTGTGGACAGTGTAATCCCCATGTTAACAAGTTAGAGTGTCTACACTAACCCCGCATGGTGAGGTTAGTGTGGACACCTGTTTTTAAATTTTCAAAACTTAATATCTATTATTTCCAATGACATTTTCCAAAATTTTCTTTTCGTGAAATAATCTTAAAGAGTGGATTCGTCGTACAAAATTGTCAAAATAATTATTTTAGGCAAACAACTGTTTCTATTGCATTGAGTAATTTTTATTTTCGAAAAAGTGTCCACACTAATACGCCCCTACCCTACTGTCGGAAAAAGACATTATGGGATGTAACAAATTTGTGTAAGGTGTTAAAAGTAAAATACGCCTTACGATAATATTTAGGTCATACTGACCAGTTATATTGAGTTCTTATTCATTGCGAAAATATTCATGTCCTTTTTCCAATAACAATCATAATTAGGCTAACAGAAATGTGCCAAGATTTCAGTTCTAATATTAAATAATTCTGAACACCAGCTAACCGGTCTTAGATCCTGTGAAAGGTTTCACTTCCTTGTTATTTAATCTTAATGACAAGAAATATGTACAACGACAGCAAGTGTCTAAATTTAATTTTATGACTTCATTGTTTGCACTCTCATTTTTGTACCCTAAATATAATAACATAATAACATTAGCGAAGCAAATTCATAGTCGTACACACCTCCCTGACTGACCAAGCTAGCATGCCAATATCCAATCAGAATACAGGAATGTCGTAAAATTTCAACAGGAAGGACTTTTGTAAATTATAATGTAGATTGGTTAATATCTACGTAATTAATAATCAATAGATTATTGGTATATAGCTATTATAGATTTTTCATGCATACAGATTCTATATGTACGCAAATAACTTAATTTACCATGTGCATCCATATTCAATATATATAAATATATGTATTGGTGATTCAGGATATTTACAAAGATGCTTTAAATCTCTCTAGCTCGTATCGATGTTAATGAAATGAACCCAAATTTACAGTAATTATGCACAATTTACTAAGGTTTAACAGCATATGTATTAACACTTTTGCATTTCGAAATTGAAATGCACGTAATCGTATGAAATCTTAGAAGAATTTTCATAACTGTAAAAATCGTGACATATGTACATAATTTCATAGAGCTTTGTACCAAGGTACGCAGCAATTTTTTCATCAAACCACCTCCATTGATGTGATTACAGTAAATATTAACTTTATTAACTATCTTGACGCACGATTAAATCGTAAATGACAGATAAACTTGATTTACTCCCTCAAACTCCATAGCATTCTCGGATTTCCGGAATTACAAGCATATGTTTTAATCCAGGAACCCACCCCACCATCCGGAACTGCACATCGCCCCGTTACCTTGTGCACCAGAAGGAAATTAGCTCCTCCAACCCCCCTAAATTCCCACCCTTGCCACGTATTGTCACTACAACGATCAGTCCACATTGCGTCCCCATCCCTGTAACCTGTGTACATGCATCGATCTCCGCTCTCCGTATTGCCCTCTTCCGTGTACGGGGTTGCCAATCTCTGATCGCCTGGACCAGCCAGAATTTCAATGGAATTAAGCGGTGTTATATCCTTTGAGCTTGGGCAATTGATCATATGTGCTGGAATCATGTGTCCAACCATATCCGTCGTCCCGATACACGTCCCATCCCCCTCATTCCGGATAAGTTTTCCTAACAAGCGACACCTTCCACGGAAACATCGTCCCGTCCCTTGAGCACAAATCGAGTTTTCCAGCACGCCAAAAAAATACGTCCAAATATTCGGTCCGGAATCATCGCGCCGTTTACACCTCATCTGTTTACAATCATATGTGTCCACATCGTCAATCCAAGCATTGGGATTGTTGAGTCTTTTCTTGCACTGCTCCAACATCGAGGGAGCTTTAGGGGAGGAAAAGTTGGGGTGCATGGGTGTGGTTGAGTGGCCATCAATCCGTCTAAGGCAGGCGGCAGAGTCGGAGCTAGATACATAAATAGGAAAAAGTTTCAACACCACGGCACAAGAATATATACCTTTTCACTTTTACGCATAATGACAACTAAATGGACGACCTGTGAATGAGTATGAATGAAAAACTCTTTCATTTTCGAGGTATTGGAGGGAATAAGAATTTTCCTTTTACGGGGCAGAATAAACTATGAAGCTACGAATAAAATGAGAATGATTGAAATTAATTAAAATCCCCACTCAGAAATCCGAAGGACTGACTTTGAACTAAAATTTTGGTTTTTGCATAGGTATAATCACAAGTAAAATAAAGTTAATAAATTACTTTACGAAACCCGATATCTCTTTGTCACTACAGGCCGAAAAGAAATATCGGTACTTATCGTTTCCTCCACTCATGATGAAACCATAGGGTGGAAGGCATCTCGCATTGGGATCGTCATCATGTGGTGCTCCAACCCTGGAGTGAAAAACCGGGAGGTAAAAAATACGTGAAATACGGCCAAGACAGAGTTGTTTTATGTATTCACGTGTGTGCTATCTCATGCGCGCCGACCGTGATGCTATGCCAATCCGCGCCCTCTCCCCAGACACAAGTTCCGTAGTCAAACCTCAAATCATTATCTAGCCAGCAGGCTCCACGGGCATGTGCCAAACCACCACCACCAGATTCCAATTTAGATCCAGTCATCAGTGGAGCCACGTCATGCCTCACGAGCCAACCCCGCTGCTCGTAGATCCAATTCTTGTAAAGGCCTAGAATTCTACCGTTGTCTGTCCTACCGTCAGATGCGCGGGCATTTTCTATGAACGGTTGTGCTTTGGCGGACTGGAGGGAGATATTTTGACAAGAAGGGCAGATTTAGGTATGTAGTAAATTGTTGATAAATAAAGTACACAGTTTTTCATATGGATCTGTACCTACCTCCATAATGAGGAGGCCGTTCACACGTAAAGATAAATCCACACTGGTGAGTGACTTAAAGCGGATGTTGATATCCCAAAAGTACACCGTAAGGTAATCCACGATTTGGTAATAGTTATGGGAAAACAGGTCGCCAAATTCCTTATCTACGACAATCACAAGTTCAAGGATTGCAGGTGCACCCCCTATTCTTGAAGACCTTCTTCCAGAGGATAAGTTACCAGCTGGGAGTACTACGTAAAATGTGTCCAAAGAAAACTGTTCGAAATTATTTATTAGCATGAAAAAATGAAAATTGAATTTATACTAGAGTCCGTATGGTAGTTGGGATAATCCAATTTCGCCCCGACCGGTGTAAGAGTGTTGCTTAAATTCTGAACAAATAAATTAAAATTAAAAAATATATCTTAATTTGGATACATTCATCTGTATGCCCATCACCCTATTCTGGCCCACTCCTCCGGGCACCCATTCCCTAACAGTTGGATTCCCACTGTCATCCGCCCCGATAATGTGGACCTGCAAATCCGGGCTGAACACGGTTTCTAAATACGTATAATAAATAAATCCCTACTTGAATATATGGACAATCCTCTGTTATTTTAGTATTGAATAAGGGGCAAATTATTTTATTATGGATAACTTTTGACCTTGTGACCACGTCACGCACTGGTTTAGCAAAGCCACCAGCGCAATTGAAGCTGCAAAAGGATTCTTCATTCTTCTCAATTATAGGCCAAATATACCTCAAGTAAAAATCAAAATGAAAATCGGATCAAAATAATATTAAATAACTAAGAAGTAATCCTTATATATATATATACAACTTCAGATAATCCATAGATAAATGGATTACAATTGCTCATTGTAATTGCATTTAATTTATTTGAACAGATGTAATTGAAATTATTTTTTTTTGATCTTTCTTATTTGATTTATCACTTTATTGCAAAGCATGTTTGTGGCTTTTCAGGAAAATAAAACATAAACTTCGTATGGCTGGTGTGCATAACGAGCTTTATTTAAATCAGATGCGTTACAAATATTCTGCACGAGTCCAGATGTGGCCTTACTTTTAAATAAAAATGACTGAAACCATTTTTATAAATAGTTGTAACTTTCCACATTAATATATTTGGATGCATATTTATTCATATAAATATTTTGTGGAAACGAAACACTTGCGTATCTGGTAGTGCTTTTTCAAACATAGCTACATAATGTCGAGGATAAATTTCTGTGGAACAATGGTGACCTATAGTTCATCTAACAAAACGGCAGCATATTTTGTGTGGCATCCTTATGGCGGGCATGAATATGCCGTTTTATTAGATGAACCATAGTGACGTAGACTACATAATGTATTCGGTTATGGCTAGCAGGGTCCATTTCAATATTAGTAATTGTACATTATGTACAGTAAATAAAATATGTAGGATACCAAGAAGTCAGGTAGTCAATGGTAAACTGGTGTACCGCATAGGTTTAATTCCTACAATGTATGCAGGTGAACATATTTGCATTTATTAATTCGGAAATCTGACCATGTGGATACTATATGTAAGAAACCACTGGTTCTGCTTTACATCTGAAACAAGTAGACGCCGCCGGCCCAAACGCCGAGCGTAAATTCGACCTCGCCGCCGTCTAAAATTGTCGGCGCGCCGCTGAACCAAGCCTTCTCTCGCCGTTACCATTTCTAGCCGATATATTCTTTTTTCGGGCTAATGTAAGTAGAATGTAGTAACGATGTATGTTAATAAGAGAAACAATTTTGACCGAGATTTGTCAAGAAATATTAGACGACAAAGAGCACCAAAAGGAATGACAGAACCGACAATTCGACAGGAGATAACTATAGACGATGCAAGATCATCTACGTGTGGTGGAAAATCTTTCCTCTTTAGCGACTCCAAAGATGAGAAACGAATCCTTAAATTTGCATCCGCTGACGATGCTAAAGTATGATAATCGTCTAGTAATTAAATTACTAAACGTAGTATATATATACTGACCACCTTTGTCTTTGCAGGAACTGTCTTTGTGCAACATTTGGGCAGTTGATGGAACTTTTGACGTGGTGACCAAACTTTATGGTCAACTAATGACTATTCATGGGATTACTAATGATGGACTGGTACTCCCTTTGGTCTACGCCTTTCTTCCCGACAGAAAGTTATCGCCACGTCTTCGACAAACTTGCCGAAAATCGACTAGGATGGGTATTAAGGCCAGACATTATGCTTATGGATTTTGGGAAAAGTTCGTGAAAGCAGCACTTCAAGTGTTCCCCAATGTGATTTTGCATGGGTGCCACTTTCACTTCGTTGAAGCTTTGATGAGAAACGTGTCCAGTGCAATCAAATCTCGACTCAGCCTACAAAACAAGCTCGTTTGGGTTAAAAATTATGATCAACATTTATGAATTTATGTTATGATTTGACAGTTATTGGCGAGATTAAGTGATATTTGAAGGAATAATATTCCGTATGTGTATATACCTGTTCTCTTGTCTTCTCCTAACTTCACTTAATTATTACTTTTGGCAGACGTCGACCAATATGCTGTCGACAAATTTTAATTGGCGACCAATTTGCCTAGTCGACCAATATGCTTTGTCGACCAGTCATCCGTCGACAAGTTGATATTGGTTTGGCGACCAGTTGTTTGGCGACCAATTACATGTGGACGAGACGTTTGTCACCCACACGCTCTGCATCCAAGTGCTGATGATGATAGGGACGATCTAGATAATTATGGCGAGGAAAATCGTTGCGATGACTGTACGAAAACTGACACTTATGAAGTGGGTGACTGGATTTGGACACACATGACAAAAATATTGTTGATGATGATGACGCTAGCGCGCAGCCGCGCTGGAGGAAATTTAAGTTGTTGAAACGGAAGAAGAAAGTGCAGACGGTGAAGCTGAGACGGAGGGCGATGGCGATGGCGATAATGATAACGACGGGGAGGATTAAATGACCCCGCTATAAAGAAGAATAAAATATTTCAATTATTTGTGGAATCGTTTTCTACATTTTAGCCGATGTCTTTTGTAAATATTTACTTCGCAGCTGTAATATATACATATATATAAAATATAATGCATATTCACTACAATCGTAATAATGACATTTTGTTAAATTTTAAATTTCTGAATTTATGGAAGTGGTGTTTTTTTAGTAAAGTTTTTGTATCAGCATCATGATAAGATGCTAAGGTCCATCTAAATAATTCCTTCACCTATAAAGTTTTCCAATGTATCAAAGTTATTATTTAGAATTATTTTTATTTCTACTCAGGAGGAGTCAAAACTGGTAATCAAATCCATATCAACGTTGTTTGCAGACGCCACCACAGAATTGAATAAACCCCTCGATATGACCGAACTTTGGAGAAGGCATGCCATGCATTTTCGCATAAAACATGGACTTCTTTCTATCAAACCAAGTTCCCTAATCGATTTACAGATATTTGAAAAAACTCATCAAATTCTTCGAGAAGGTGGATGGACTGCGAAATCTTGCCCCAGTAAGTGACCAATTTGAATGTAATGTCAAGAATAAGTTGTGGCAATAGAATAAAATAAAAAAAAGTGAACATTGTAGCCCGTCAGATATAAAATAATTATTTAATGCCAGTAAATACATAAATGTGCTTAGTAAGTTTAATTTTGTAATAAAATTTATATACACGCATATTAGGGTTATTAAGAACATTAATTGACATGTCTCTTAACCTTTAGTTTTAAACGGTGCATACAATTATAAAATCTTTTAATATTTATTGAGCTACAAGGAACAAAAAAAACATAATCATCAACTTCTCAATAGAATTCAACCACGACCCAGAAGCTTCTTCCGGTCGTACTTCATCGTACTTCGGCCGTCATCGTAGTTGTTGATGCCGATCCGGTTGGCATTGTCCTGTCAGTTGGTCCAGTTTCTGGGGAACAAATGTCTTTCGGAACGTATGCAACATAATCGACCGGATAACTCGTTTCCTCAGTATATGACCCTTCTCCCGTTTTCTGACTATTGCATCCATTCTCATGCGGAAGAAACCTCTGGTTGTATTGGTACTGTTCAATAAATTCTGCCGTCCAGTTGTGAAACAGGGAAATGGTTTCCGTATATTCTCCTCGCAAGTATTCAGGTTCTTCAATCATGATCAGATATCCACTGGGAGCAGGAACGCTACGTAACATAGGACAAAACTTTGGGCATGTCATCGCTAAAATTATAAAGTAGTGTGATATAAGTACGTTTTAAGTTTCGTAATTCCAAAATCTTGAATATGTTTCATAAACGGGGTTTGGGAATAACAAGAGTCCATATCCTGTCGTGGATAATGCCAGAAAAATGTAAGGCCCATTCCATTTCTTGATGATAAACCGCTAACCACCGCCTTCCCGTTGTTCCACGTTGAGGAATAGGTGCATTCTAATTGAGTTTATCAAAATAAAATAATTAAAATGAGATGATAAATGATATATTAGAGTCCGTTAGTTTACCATAGATTAATCGATCACCAGGAAAGAGTTTTGTATTTGGAATGGCTTTACTTTGTTGATAATTAAAATCATAATGGTCATCGTAATCAATCCAGGGAAGTTCCAGGTTGCCCCGGAAGTGACGGAGTCTTAATTTCCGGCCTATCGATTTAAATTGAATGTCAAGGAATTTGTAATTGATTTGGATACGTAGTTATTATAAACAGTGTACTCCAAAAAGCAAAACAGCAGCAAAAAATTTCTGCTTTTTGCTGGTTTGCTGTTATACTGTCATATACTAATAACACGTCTCACTTCTCCCCATCTTAAGAAAACAGCAAAACAGCAGAAAAGCAAGAATTTTTGATAAGCAAAAAAGCTGCTGTTTTCACCAAAAAAGCAAAATGCTGTGCTTTTTTGCTTGGAAGTACACTGATGACAAACATACCAGAAATGTGAGCGTGGAGAAGAACATTAAAAATTGTGACGCCTTCCTTCTCTTTAATTCCCCAGTTGGTACATTCTGGTCCACATTGTCCGATAAGTGTGAAATCGGAAATGTTTGGTGGAATTGTGAACATGAAATCGGTCTCGTGTCCCACTGCTAGCAATCCGGCATCTTCTTGTCTAAATTGAAATGGATTTGTTAATTAAATTCAATCAAGTACTTATCAATAGATATTCTGCACCTAGTTTCATTAGTATAGTAAAACTGAACTCCAGCCTTAAATTGTACACCTTCCTTCTTGTCTGGATTATCGTAGTGAATTTCCAACATGTAATAAAATTGTTGCCCAGCATCGTCACCCTCACCAATTGGGTAACCCACATTTTCGGGGAAGGTCATTATCTAATTTATAATAAGAAAAATTATCAAGAAAACTATAAACTAGCATGACTTTCTTCTAAAAAATGATACAAAGTAAATTGTAGATAATTATTTACCTTGCCTCCCTTCGCCCATACAAATAGGTATTGCGCACAATAAAATTCCGGAGTGGGAACAATTGCTGCCAGATTGTAACAATGTGCCCCCATAAATCCCGTGTCTACCGTATAATTCCTAAACACTTGATCCAGCGTTTTATTCGAGCCTCGTGGAACGTAACAGTTTTTGAGGATGAAGTGATGAGTATGTGCGATGGCATCAAGGCCATCAAGCAGTGCATCAAACTAAAAGATTAAAATATTTGCGGTATCGTTAGCGAATTAATTTTGGAAGTACGTTCTGACCATGCCCATCAAGTTCGGCTGATCACCGTACTGGATGAGGAATGTACTTGGAAAAATAATATTTCTTGAATATTTAATGAGACGTATTTCTGGTTTGGCCGACCAGAAATCTTCTCATCATTGCGAGACATAGGATGAGAAGTGGAGGTTGTGATAAGAGTGTCTCTCCACTCTTATCACATCCTAATTTAATTAATCCTCTGCTTCCTCTCGAGGCAGAGCTTTTCATGGGTGGAATTCCACCCAAAATCATCCACTTCGGTCTTGGCCGTCAGCCAAAGACATTGTGCCTTAATCACCTCTCCACATTTTTGTTTTATTGTGCCTTACTTGTACACTCATTCCACTAGAAGAGAATAATTTTCGTTATTTCTCTAAAATAAATGCCTTTAGTTTTCAGTCTAAAAACGCTCTCCCACACAAATTCGAGTTATTTCACCCTAAAAATCATGAGAACCGTTACAACGTATTAGTTTAATACTTACAGCAACAACGTGATGTTTCGTCATGACGACTGGGGCTTTATGAAAGCTACACCAGTACGTTGTATCACTAGATGGCATCACCATGTCGACCATTATTTCCCATTTTGATAATCTGTGTATGTAGGTGTATGAAAATATTGTTGGTAGCACAATTAAGCTATCTTAAAGATGGTTTAACAATAATATGTATTTACGCGTCTAATTCCAATTGCGGATTTGGTGTGCCGATAAAGTTTCCCGCTTTTGATCCCCTTCGTTGTGCTGTATGATATCTAATATCATCAGTCAAACCGTACGACCAAATGAGTCTGGTTGTATCATTGCCGATTGGATAATCCTCATCATCACAGGTATTAATGAGGCGGGAGAATTTAATATACGTTTTTCCAAGTGCTTCCATCCCACAGAGTAATGTCCAGTCTTGATGATCATCAAGTTTTGGTGAGAAGTTTCCTAAGCCGATGTAGTCCTGTTAATTAATAATTAATCACTCAAGTCCATAATAATTCAAATTTATACTTACCGCCCCATAGGCTGTGCCGTTTGGGAGAACACCTCCAATAAATATATCAGCCCCGGTCATGCTACCACTTGGGGAAATGCCAAATCCGACAAATCCTTCCGTTGCTACTTCCAATTCGAACGAGATAATCTGAGACGATTCATCATATTCCCAAGCCAGCAAAACGTTTCCATAGCCATCTAATTGTTCTTGGTTTTGTAAAGTTAGTAGGCTCGAGGGTGGAATATTAACGGAATTAATTTGCAATATTAATGGGTTTGCGAGAAATAAGAAAGTTAGTGAGGAAGTTATGAGAGTCAAGGATAAATTATTGCGACGCATTTTAAATATGTCGTATGTCTTTTTAAACTTGTGATTTTAATTTTTTAACGATAAAGTGGTCTGCTACCACTAATTGGTCGAGTGGAACTGATCCGTTTACAGTGAAATTATGTGAATTTTATGCGACTCAAATCATTTGCGTCATAATCAGTGGACATGATAAATGAGTCAACTTTATTGATGCTGTAAATTTAATTAATTAATTACATACATTATCCTGGTTAAAAGTCAGGTATAAGCAATAGAAAGTTGTAATTGTACCAGAGGTCAACGCCGACGTATAACTCGGCGGCGGCGGCGGCAATTTTTTATTTTTTTAATCAATTATTGGAATTCCTTGTTCAGTACAACTGAATGACTGGTCTTCCACAAGTTCCCTTGCATATAGAGAACGGACTCTATTGCGGCTCCCAAGCAGAGCCAGGCTCCGCACCCTCTTTTCAGCCGTAAACGGACACTTGGGAGCACCCACCCCGTACTATCACCGAGCCGAGTAGGATTAACAAAGTTTCCCGGAAAAAGATGGAATCGAACGTCTACCTGCGTGGTAACCCCCAACCCACTAGGCCACAGGGCTTAGCTTTTTTTGAGCCAGATTGCGGCGGCGGCGGCGCGCCGCGGCGCCCCATATAAAGTCGGCGGCGCGATCAAAAACCAATTTAAATCCGTCAGAAAAAGTTTGACTACTAGAATTATTTTCTTATAGCGTTAGAATTATTGTTAAAGCTAAAATATTTTTATTGTTTTGAATTTTTAAAAATTTTAGCAAAAAATCTTTAAAAATTTAAGCAAAAATTTTATCGGCGGGCAAATTTTTTGGAGGCGGCACGCCGACACTTTTTTCCGGCGGCGTGAAAAAAGTGACCGGCATTTGGCGGCGCCAGATCGGCGGCGTTGAGCTCTGAATTGTACACCTCAAATTTAAATAAATAAGATGACAATGATAGCTTGGTTAGGGTGCTGGTATAACAATAGTGCTTATCAGTGCGGCTTATTAATTGGTAGAAATTCGTAGAATATCCATGCTAATTGAATACGTTATAAATTTTATTTGTGTGTGTGCGTCATTCATACATAACTCTATTTAACCTGCACAGAGTGAAATGCGACCTGAATCTCAATTATTTAATGAGGATCAAATGACTTATTGCAAGTTACAACGCCTGCAAACAAATTTGGTTGGGATGATAAGATTAGCATAAAACATATTGAAATGTTTACACACCAACTTTGTATTGTAGTGTATTGTATATCTTTATTTCACAGGTCTTTCCCAATTCATTGCATACAAAGAACAAATTCTTCTACAATGTTCTACCATTGGTGACACTGATAATTAACCATTTACTAACTATTTTTCACTAACTTTTTAGTTATTTCTTATTTGTCCCTATCTGTCTTATTAGATACTGGTCAATAGCGTAAAAACATACTTTCACCTCTCTTAACTACAAAATTTTGGTCGGCGCCGGCGGCGCGCCGGCGTTAAATCGGCGGCGGCGACGCCAAAATCGGCGGCGTGGGGCTCTGATTGGTTCTTGTATATCTAATAATATTTCTCTCCTAACCGAAGGGCGAACGTGGTTCGTGGTGAGCCACGGTAATGAATTATGGTCTGTTTTTTTTAAGCGAGAGATAATTTTGCATATTCAATATTAAAGTTTTAAAAACGAGTTGTTTCTCGTTTTTAAAACTTTAATATTAGTCTACGTAGTTTAAATTAAATCTGAATTGTGCATTTCATACCAGCATTGATGAAGTTATGTTCGATACGAATGCACGAATTTAGCAGATAAATCATATCTAGGCCGACTTTAAACTCCATGTGTATTCCATAAACGCCTTGGAAGAGGAGACAAATGAAATAGAGTATCATTACGGTTTTCCATGCTTCTGTGTTACAGCCCTTTGTCATGAAATAGGTCAAGTTGAGAACCAAGTTTAGAAGGATAACAGATCGGGCAAGAATTCCATAAATTTCGTAACCTCGACCGTTCACCTTGTAAAAGTTGAAGTTTTTTAACTCGATTTTGAATTGACGGCAAATAAGCGAGACACATGAGATGATACTGATTATGGTAAAATGGTCGCCCGGATGCAAGATATTTTGCAAGGTGCGAATTACAAGACTTTGGTAAGCGATGCAAATCCGTGAGACTCTTGTCATGTTGAAATCCTTTCGATTTAAAATAATGAATAACTCATTATTAAAAAAAGGTAAGTTATAAAATTGTTCATAAGAATACTGGATTCCAACGAAACTTCAAATAAATGTCTACAAACGGTTTATAAAAGTCCACTTTCTTATAGAAATTATCGATCTTCAATAATATGTTGGCTTGAGTTAACGTCATAGCTTATAACAGAACCTTAATTTCCAATTGTAATCGCCCAATAAAAATGCAATATGATTAGGATTCGGATTATTAAAACTTTCTGAGTGCTATGTTAATTTAGCTCAAGTCCGGTATTTTATATTTTATTCATCCGTTCATCAAATCAACTGTCGATCCATGGACACATTTTTTGTATTTGTTATTTACGTGTCACCTCTACCAACCACATGATCAAAAGGCAGTGTGAACACTTTGGTTATTAAAGTTTGTAATTCGGCTTTAGAATTGTTTCTTAGAACACCCATATAGGAGTGGTAATTCGATCGATAAAAATTCAATCCTATCGAATTTTTTCGAGTTGGATTTGCAGTCTTGTCAATCCAAAATTCGAATACTAAGGAAACCAAAGGGACTTATCCGAGACCTGTTAGACCTTAATCCCATCCGTCGGATTGCGATTCCAAGATTTTTTAAATGTTCGAGGTTCGTATAAATTTGAACCTTACGGCTCTGTAAAATCGTATATGTGACCATACAAGGTATTTGGGTAAGCCGTTTTGGCTTTAGATATCGTGCCTCAGACGGATATACCTGACGATTATGTACTGATTATGTACATAAGCCTAGGCTCGAGATAAAAGTAGATTGAAATTGAATATTGCAATGGATTCTAAATGTATAAACCGATTTTCATACTTTCCATCAAGATCTACCAATAACATATAATAATATTAGTCGTCTCACATCTCCCCATCTTAAGAAACCAGCAAAACAGCAAAAAAGCAAGAATGTTTGATAAGCAAAAAAGCTGCTGTTTTCACCAAAACATCAAAAAGCAAAATGCTGTGCTTTTTTGCTTGGGAGTACACTGGCTTCCGGGAATCCGAAAATCCGGACGAATTAAATTGTCGAGTCAAATATCTCGAAATATTTGCCACACCTAACGAAGCCAGATATGCAAACTTTTTTTCTCATATTTGTCAGCTATATCGTTAAAACTTTTGTCTTGCTAAATCTCGTATTGTACACTCACAGAAATTGGGTGATGATTATGACCAGATTTAGACGTATATGGCTCTACCGGATTGGTGATATACTCCATCACCTTTGGTGATGCTATTATCACCAATTTGAATAAATTTATCAACAGCGGTGGCGAATTTATCACCAGTGGTGATGAACTTTATCACCAATTCGGTAGAGCCATATACGTCTAAATCTGGTCATAATCATCACCCAATTTCTGTGAGTGTGGCTGTCATGCAAACTACTACATGATTTTCACCAATTACTTCGAAGCAGAAATTCAAATAGGAGTTTTATCTGAACGTCTTGCGACACCTACTACTCTCTCCTGAATTTTTGGAGGTGTGGCCTTCAGTCAAACACAAACATTACCTGAGATGACAGACGTGAGGATACAATAACAAAAAGAGTAATGATTTGATAACTAAAAATCTATGTTTAGTAACAATACGGAAATGTTGAATATTGGGTACGGAATTTTTAACGCTTAAACTTAAGCAAGGACGACGCGTTTACTAGGCATTGAAATCTCGTTGTATTTATTCATGGTAGCCACTCAGTACATGTAAGGTAACTTTATGATGGCACCAATAAAGTACCGACGTTTTGGTACCCAAAGCTTACCAATTTGTCGTATATTAAAAGGTGTTGAAATATCATCTTCTTTCAATTGACCAAGAAATGCCATTAAATCTTTACTCATCATGAAGTATGAAAATTAGTTTTATTTTTGCTCTAGATAAGTTTGAACGAGCCAATGACAAAGCAAAGAAGTTATTAAAAACTTCCAACATTGATAGCAGCGAACTAGAAATCGAATTGTCGCAAGATCGATTGGATTTACAAGGTTAGTTCAATAGTTTTAGCCCGAGCCAGGGCTTATGTACGTACTCGTTATGTCTGTCTGTCTGTCTGTCTGTCTGTCCGTCTGTCTTCGCGATATCTCTGTTCAAAGACAACCGATCGAGTTGAAATTTGGAAAACATTTATATTGGCCCAACTTAGGAAGGGAGTTCGAAGATGAGTATGATCGGTCAAGTGGTTGACCAGTGGGGGTCCCCTAACCCCCACTGGTTGGGTTACTTTCCACCAAATTTCAAAATAGTCATAGAAAGCTGAAATTTGGTACATAGTTAACTAATGGCTTCTAATGAAAAGATATGAAGTGAATTTGCGAAAATTTTTATCTGGAGGGACCCTATGGGGTCACCCAAACTGATTTTCAAAATCGTCCAATTAAGCTGAAATTTGGTATGGAAGTCGATAACAGCTTGTAATGGGAGTTTATGATGTACAATTTTGAAAATTTTGACCCAGAGGTACCCTGTGGGGTGACCCATACTGATTTTGTAAAATCACTCAATTAAGCTGAATTTTGGCATAGAGGTTGGCAATGACTTCTAATGAAAGAATACGAAGTGAAATTGGAAAAAAATTCAGGTATAAGGACCCTATGGGGCGACCCATAGCGATTTTAAAAAATCGACTAATAAAACTTTACATGAAGATTTCTGACCAACCCTGGCTCGGGCTAAGCAAAGCTGTATACGGAGGTTTTTAAATAAGATGCTATTTTGCACACGAATATTGACAATTTTCGCGCCTTGTTTTCTCAGGGGAAACAGTAATTCAAACTTTTGGATCACCAAGTGGTGAAGGAAATGAACAGACAATTGAATCCATTCCAGTAACTTTAAATTATTATGACGACCGC